ATAGAGAAGGATTCAGAGATTCAACCTCAGATTTGTGGCCTCTTTTATTCAGATGGGCTTCCTTCAACCAAGTCCAAGCTACATTTCCTCTGTGTCTTAGAGCTGTCATATAATAACTCTTTTGGGAAAATTCCATCAAGCACCTAATTGGAGAGCTTTACTGCTTCTACTTATTTATTTATTTATTATTTGTTTATTTCTTTTGGGTAATTCTGCACTCTGTGGGCCTCCTCTAACACCAACATGCTCCGGTGATGAAAGACCTACAGATGGTGGTTCCAGTACAATCAGGACAATGAAGATGAATTTTGGAAAGAATTTAAACCCAGTATGGAACTGGAATGATGGCTTTTGGCTTTCTGGGAGTTATGGCTTTAAACTTGGACCATGCATGTAAACACGCTTGCTTCTTCTTGTTTGACTTTGACTACATGAAGATCTGCCTCAGTAACTTAAAGGCAGTACTTGGTTTGGTGGTGACAGTTATTGCTCCCAGATTGCAAGAACATTCAACTTGTTACCCTGGAGCCCAAGGAAGAGGATATGTTTTAAGTTTTTTTATAATTTTGTCATCTTGTTGAGGTGAACTACGTACTTCATTGAAAGTAACAGACAAGTCACCCCCGCTTTGTTTTTCAGGTGCTTCTTCAGAATTCAAGGATTTGATGTTTTCTTGTGAAGTGAAATTCCAAGGTAAGTTTTGTTATCTCAGGAAAAAAGAGTAAAATTCCAGGCTTTCTTGGCTACCATAGTCCTCAAGACCACCTTTTTTTTTTCCATTTTTGTGTGCTAAATTATGCTTTATGTGTGTTTTATTGTATCATTTTGTGTTTTGCTTGTTTTTATTCCACCATCTAGTTTGTAAGAATGAAGAACAAGCTAGCAGCAACAGAAATAAGACTGAAATCTGAATTCTGCAAGTTTGACATGTTTTAGTTGATAGGATGGTATAATTTAATCAAATGATGAAAATGAGATAAATTAGATAGAAATCATGCGAATGATTTTTTCTTCTTTTTTATTATTCTTATTATTATTATTTTTTATTTAAGGAGCTCTTTGCTTATAATTGCAATCAAAGGTCAGTCTTCTTTTCTTTGTTGCATTCTCAATAACTTTAATAGGATGCTTCCAGAAAACAACATTTCCAAAGTTGGTTAATAAGACAACCAGTCAATGGTCTTCCATTTCTTTAACTTGACTGTGTTTCACTGGCTCAGTGTTGAATTATGCTGCTCCAGCCTGACTTTTTGTTAAAATTCGTCAAACTGGTATCTTTCTTTAATCTTCTCCCTACACTAAAGGTTTTCTCCTTTTTGTTTTACAATATATTAAATTTCCTTGACACAAACAATTACACTTCCTCTTGATGAGATTTTTATCCTTAAGAATTGCATAACGTGTTTAGTCTCACCGTATGTATGTTTTGATGGAATTTGGAACCAAACATTTAGATTGCTAAAAATACCTCCTTGAATTTAAACTCTACTCTTTCTTCCTAAATAATCAGGATACTTTAGGGAAAAACTGATTTTAAACTAGTTGTGCTTAAATGAACCCTGCACACTTAATTCCCTCACTTAGTTCATGCCTTTACATTGTTCTCTTCTTTCTCCACTTCCCTCAACGTTCCTTTTCCTTACAATGCTTGCACTGCTCCACTTGCTACACGATCGAAATGACATGAGAGTGATGCTAGCAAATGGAAAAATTATGTAGAAAAAGACTGTTATAGAGAGTGAACGACAAAGCCCTCCTCAACTTTGAACAAGGTCTAATTGATGACCAGTTCTGGTCTAATTTATGGTTCACTTTGAATTTTTTATGTTCCCTTTTAACATCTGTTCATATAAGTAGAAGGGTTCCAAAACTCAGACAGCAGAACCAAATGGTTAAAGTTTCCACAATTTTTCTTTGACAGTCTTCATTTTTTTTCTGCTTGATCTTGATTTTGTTATTTTCACTCAAAAAATGATGGTTTTGGGTGGAGGGACCTCCCTGCTTGTCTTTTTAATTGTGATTTTACTACAGATTAGAAGGGCTGTTGGACTCAATTCAAAATCTGGAGATCATGAAGTTAGGTGCATAGAGAGGAAAAGACAAGTACTTCTTGCATTTAATCAAGGTTTGGTTGATGACTATGGTGTGCTTTCCTCTTGGGGAAGCGAAGAAGAGAAAAGGGATTGTTGCAAATGGAGAGCAGTTCAGTGCAGCAAAGCAACTAGGCGTGTAATTGAGCTTATTCTTCAGGATTGCTCTTTAAGAGGTAAGTCATGTCCTTTCCTGTTTGAGTTGCAGAGTTTTAACTTATTTGTGCCTTAGTTGAATAGGCTTTAGATTATATTCTCTTATCAATTCACTCTACCCAACTATAAAATATCTTGATCCCTCTTCTTGTGGTTCTGGTTTAGGTGGACATCTTCTCAGTCAGTTAGGGAACCTCACAAGTCTGCAACTTGTTGATCTTAGACATAATTACTTCGACA